ATGGGTGCTGTTACCTTAGGATTGCTGCCTCCGGGAGGGAACCCCAAACCTGCTCCTGACAGCGGATACTGCTGACGAAGTCCTCGATTGTCAGCAGACTTTGCAGGCAGGAGTTCATGTAACAGTACTGCGCTGGGTTGGGGAGCCTGATGAACAAAGAACAAAACGAACGTGTCAAAACTCAAATATGTCTTTGATGGATTCATATTCTTATGAACTTGTTTCTTGTGTGAACGTCTGTAGATGTACTTACCCAAGACTCCTGAACTGGTCACATCTAAAGAACTTGGTGATCATGGTGGAGGGGGCTTGTTGGACCTGAATTTTGATGCTTTGAATTATGCTTTTACCCACATCCGACTTTTTCTCCTCCTTTTCTTGGGGTGGTTTAATCTCAATTGTCACCTCCTGCTTTGGGGCAGCCGGGCAGAGCTTCTTTGGGGTAACATCCTCTTTAATTGGATGGACCTGATTTTTTTTCTGTTGGAGAAAATAAATACTCTGGTTACATCATGTAACGATATATTAATTAGCTGATTGACTTTTGGTCTATCTTTAATGCTGCACTTCATGTCAAACATACGTACCTTGCGGAAAATCAAAGAAGGCTTCTTGGACTTTTCATTAATGTTTGTTTGAATGGGGTGGTCCTGTTTTTTTTCCTGTTGGAGAAAATAAATACACTGGTTACATCATGTAACGTTATAAACAATCAACTGATTGATGATCTGTCTATCTTTAAGGCTGCACTATTTCTCAAACATACTTACCTTGCCGAAAATCCAAAAAGGCTTCTTGGACTTTTCATCAATGTTTGTTTGTATTGGGTGGACCTGATCTATTTTCTGTTGGAGAAAAGACATACTCTGATTCAATCATGTAATAATATATTAATTAGCTGATTGACTTTTGATCTATCTTTACTTACCTTGCTTGAAATCAAAGAAGGCTTCTCAGACTTTTCATTCATGTTTGTCTTAATGGGTTGGGCCTGATTTCTTCTCTGTTGGAGATCAGACATACTGTGGTTAAATCATGTAATGATATCAGTGTTTCCCCTAGGTTTATAGCGTTGGGTGGGTGGGGGGACACGCCGACACAAACACTTGAAGGAATCTTGGTGATGGGTTACTTTTAATGACAGATGTCCTTTTCTATCAGAAAGGTATCCTTAAATGACTTATTTCCCTGATTACGGACTCTATCCACTATCATATCCCTACAATAAAGGCACAAAAAGCCCCACAAAATTTTTTTTTTTTTTTTTTTTTTTACTTGACCTTCATAATGGTAGGGGAAACACTGGATATATTAATCAGCTGACAGATGTTTTTCAGTCTATCTTTAATGCTGCACTATTTCTCAAACACACTTACCTTTCCAAAAATCCAAGAAGGCTTCTTTGACTTTACATTGGTTTTTGTTTGGCCGTCGGTGGTTTGGTCCTTGGCCGTTTTCTGCTCCTGGAAACAAACAATATAAGAATGAGAATTATCTGCTTTAATACCAAACAATCGACATGACATATTTCATGCCACTTACTGAAGGTTGTCCTAAGAGCTTATGTCTCCGATGTGTCTCCTCTTCCTTCTTGAGGGAAACATCTGTAGTGTCAGGCAGCTTGACGCTGCAAAGTAGAGAGAGACAATTTGTTTTTATTAAGTTGTGCATGAATGCCTAAAATCACAAAACATTTTAATGGATGATATGAAGGAATTGATAACTGTGGTCCCAATTGAATTCAGCTTTGCATTTCAGTACACATCATGGTGACATGTTTCTTCAATAGTTTTTTTTTTTTTAACCATTTTAGATCAATTTCAGTGATTTTTCTTTTTTTGTGTGAAAGTGGGTGATTGATGCCCTTACCTTTTCTGAGAGTTTTGGATCGGTCGGTTCTGCTCCACAACGGGTACTGAACTCTGTAAAGAAAAATACAGAATTAAAAACTGATGTGAAGATAATGTAACAGTGACAGGATTTAAATTCACATGACTTTATTTACTAACTTCAAAGAGAGTTTCAACCAATAACTGTAAAGTAGTCTTAAAATCATGTTTGTTAAAATAATGGTGGTAATGTGTAGTAGAACAAACCTTTCCACAACAGAGGCCCATCTTTGAAACTGTTGTAAAAGCTAATTTGTCTAGTTTGACTAAAAACTTCGACTGACGTAGACGGTGAACTGCGCTTGACGGTGTGTTGACTGAACTGACTTTTAATGGAATTCTCATCAGAACATCAAAGTCAGGTCAACACCACTCTAAATTGTTTTGTTTTAAATCGATTCCGATGGAATTTTGGCCATTGTGAGCACACAGTGAGATGTCATTTGACAACATGTTTATGTTCAAATTCTAACAGCATGTATGTTATTAGGCCGTGTTCACACTTGACTTCTTTTTTCAACTGCCAGCGCCTTTTTTACATACAAGCCTGTGGAAAAAGGAAAAAGGATGACGCCTTTTTAAAAAGCGCTGTGAAATAAGAAATAAGTCAAGTGTGACCACGGCCTTAAAGTGATTTAATTAGTAGATTGGAGGTATTTCGGGCCTAAATTATTTAACAAAATGGTGTTAAAACCTAATCAAACAATTGTGAAATAATGGATTTTATAAACCTTAATCAAAAACTGTTTCATGGGCACAAAACACTTAATTATATTGACTTAATTATTGTTTTAAAGATTTATTTTGGGGGATTTTTCTGCCTTTATTGGAGAGATAGGGCGGAGGATAGAGACTGAAATCAGGGAGAGAGAGTGAGTGGGGAATGACATACAGGAAAAGAGCCACAGGTCGGACTCAAACCCGGGGCTGCCCGCCTGGAGGTCCACAGACTCCTTACATGGGGCATGTTCACCAACCACTGCACCACCAATGCCCCACATTGACTAAATTTAAATATGTGTTTATTTTATGAGCAGTACCATGGTTTGCGTACCTTGGTTTTCTGGTGTTGCAAGATCGTTCCAACATCTTCACAAATATTTGGCAAATGTTCACATGGGTCAAAACACATATTCAAGTTGGTTAATAGAAATTAGACATTAATTTGACATTTTGAATACTAGTACTCATAAAAAAATTATAACTCTGATCTTTGTCAGTGTTTCAAATAGTATCTAATGGGAGTTTTGAATATGTAGATGTCACTTGGCCCAATGTTGTTTCAGACTTTCACTTTCCATCATGTTTTCAGTTGCTTGTCTGGAAAGCAGTGAAAACATTGCAATGTATTGACTTCTCTACATTTATATAATAAGCCAACCTGAATGTGTGATGTTCAGGAAAATGGACCCCTTGTGAATTTGGGGAAATATAAGTCAAATGTCATAAAAATTGCAGGTTCCAGCCTCCGAAATGTTTTGATTTTCTTCTTCTCTTTCTATTATATGATGCGTCAGTGATTTTTTAAAAAGAGTTTAGAGCTGTAGGTTGGATGTCTCATTGGGCTCTTGGAGTGTGGGATGGGATCATTATTTCTGATCTAATTTTGTTCATTCTTGGCAAAATAAATAAACAATACATCAAGACTTTGAGCAGCTGATGTAGAATTATTGAAATGATAAGTTGTTGTACAGTCCTCATCGTGTTATCAAATCAAAAAATATCAAAGGTTCTAGCGTGAGAGCTGAAAATGCCTATTGGTGTTTCCAGATTTTTTTTGTGTGTGTGTGTGTGTGTGTGTGTGTGTGTGTGTGTGTGTGTGTGTGGCGCTTGGGTGTTCATTTCTGCCTTAGTTGACAGCTGAAGTCCTTTTGAGCCTGAATTACTACCTGTCAATCAAACAAAAGATATAAAATGCTGGCCTTCTCTATAAAACTCAGTATGTCTTCAATAAGAACATAACGTTATTATGTGCTTTAGTTTATGTTGTATCAGCATGTTTCCTCCATGACGAGTTGATAATAAAATTTGAGTGGCATTACAAAACAACCAGGTCCAGAGCTTAAATATGTGTGTATTATAAACATATAGCCATGGCATCTTTGAGGCTAAATCTGGCTCATTATGTGTGATTTTTAATGTTGATCACTGTGTAATTTTCTTCTCATAATTAATTCATACATTACATGTTCATAAAAATATGGGGAGCACATTCTGTTAAAGGTCCTGAAAGCTTTATGTAATTTACATGTAATTTGTTACAAAAAAAGGAACATGAAATATTTATTTTTTTAGGAATTGATAAGAAAAGAAACTCGTGAAGTTTTTAACAACACCAAGGAAAGAATCTGGCTGTAAAAAGCCTAGTTGAGTTTATAAGTAGTCACACACACACACACACACACACACACACACACACACACACACACACACACACACACACACACACACACACACACACACACACACAAAAGGTTCTCTTCAAATAACTGTTAACTGCTGGTTCGAGTCAAATAGATTAATTGAAAGAAATGTTAAACTTTGTTCCTCATATCTGTCACATCTCTTGTCTTTTATTTGCAGCTCAGAAGGACAATATTTATATTTTATGTCTCGAGAATAACTTTGACAAGAACTTTAGGACCACATCTTACTTATAATTAATGGTAATTATAATTGAATAATTGATTATTTGCAGATTATAGTATTGAATTATATATGGAGGAATATAATCTCAGAAATGAACATCATAACGTCACTTATAGATCCTTAAAATGGACATAATCTAACTGATTGTTTTAAAATGGACATTATCAGAAATGATCAGAAAAAAAATCACTTTTTAGAAGATTATTTTAAGGAATTTATCTGAAGAATTGACTGAAATCTTCAAAATGATCTGCCTTTAAAAAACATCATGTCCCACTTTCCTCTTTAATTTGAAACAGAATATAAAGTCTTTAGTAGAAATCTAACTCTGTTGCTTTATTTGGAACTTGCCATAAATAAATGTTATAAATAAAAGAAGAGTTATAAAAGCAATGATTGTTAAACCTTTTATTTGTACATCGGTCTGGGTGTCTCATGTCCCTCTCTCTGTGTTTCTGTCAGACTGTGAATCATCTGAAGCTCTGCAGGTCCTGACCGCCCGCTGCCAGGGGAAGAAAAGCTGTCTGGTCAGGGCCTCCACCAGAGAGTTTGGGGACCCGTGTTACTCTGGAACCAGGAAGTACCTGAGCGTCATCTACACCTGTGGTGAGTCTCAATAACGCCTTTACTGAGGGCCACCAGGGGGCGACATTCACTCACCAATTGCATTGAATGACGTCTTGCCCTTGACTTTTTGGCTGAGTTTCAGCACCACTGGATCTTGAATTGGTTGTGTTCTCTGAGAATACATAAATCTGTCTTTTCAGTGTGGGATAATGAGGCCTTACAGTTTTGATCTCTCTGCCAAAGGACAATGTAGGACTGGATTTATTTTTTTTACGAGCCACTTATTCTATGGTGATACTTTCACTGGATATACTGTTTCCTTTCTGCTTCCATGTACCTTTCTGATAACTTTACAATGACATTCAAGGTTTTCATTTTGGGACAGAGTGTAATTTTCACTTTCTAGACTATAAGTACCCTTTAATATAATTTAATATATATATATTTTTTAAAGTAACAGTGATCAACAAAAATGTTAAAGCTGCCAAACCTCTTGTTGTGTCTAGGTGACATTATGTAAGGAAACATTATGGTAAGAAACCACTTTGTTTCTTCTGTTGTGACTTTTAGTCTGTGAGAATGAGGGAACACAGAGGTTCCTCCTTTTTGTCTTTTTTTTTTCCACACCCCTGGGCTAATCCTGACCTGTCAAGACTATAATTTATTACAACACACACGCATACTCATCACACACACACACACACACACACACACACACACACACACACACACACAGACGCCTCTAGCAACAGGAATCGATCAATCAGCCCCATGGTCTGTCCACCCAAATCATTAGCACACACACACACCCAGCTTCAGAGCAGACAGGCAGTCATTTCTGTCTGTCCAATGTGACTTGTATTTCTGATTCATCTTGCTCATTGAGCTGTGAGTTTATCAAAGTGTGTATCTGAATTGAATTTTTCTCCTCCATTCACCTGAATTTGTTAAAAATTGAAGCTTGTATCTTCATTGGTATTGTACATGTCTTCTCAAAGTTCATATTTTATTAATGGGTTCTTTCACCCTTTCTTTTGTCTCTAAATTCTTAATCCTTCCATAAGTTATCCCAACCACAACCGGTCAGAGCAGACAGGAATACGCAGACCTCTCAGCTGTGTTTGTGGAGTCGTCCGGCTCTAACCTCCCTTATCTAACGCTGATAACACACAAACTCTCCTAACAGCTCCGGTGCTGTTCAGCAAATGTGTGTGGAGGGTCTTTGGAGGGATGTGGTGGATGGGTGTAAATGTTCAACAGACAGATAGGAACGTGCTGTTGGTTGGGGAGGGGGTTGAGGGTTAAGAGATGCGGTGGGTAAAACACGAGTAAATGAGTCTGGCTGCTGCAGACATGAAGTCACTGGTTGCTCCAGGCTCCAGCTAAGTGCTGGTTTCAGAGGATCCTCTTTCATTGGTGGTTGAGTGTGTGTAGGATTGACCCTGTTTGTGACGGAGGAGGGGACGAGGATGTCTGTCTTCACATGATGGGCTGAATTCATGTACATATATGATTATCGGAAAGTGTGTGTGTGTGTGTGTGTGTGTGTGTTTGTGTCTGTGTGTGGTGTTGCCTGTACAATGTTTTGCACAGACTTGTGCTTGATCACACAAAACTGACAAGTGCAGTGTGATTTTCAGGAAAATCATCAGTCAATAGGAAGCGGATGATTTAGGAAGAGCAGGGATTGGGATGATAAAAAAAAAAGTCAAGATGAGGAGATAGTTGTAAATCAATTGTCATTTTTTAAAATTTTTATACATCATAAATGCTGCTGGGTGTTTTAGATTTATAATCACCTCTTTTAAATTTGCACCCTGGTCATATATATTTCTGGAATATCGGAGTCCCGCAGTGTGCGAGATGCCCTATTAGGTTTGGATGTGCGTGTTTTCTCGATTGTTGTACTCGTTTAAATTTGTGTAATACAGTTTTCACTTAAAAAGCTCTTTGCAAAAAGCACGTGTCCTTTCAGTGATGCAATTGAAATACATTAGCTCCACAGTAAAACATGAATGATTCCAGTTTTTTTAAGTATTATAATACTATAACTAATAATGATTGTTGGCACTGGTGATCATGAAATCATTCAAACCTGAAATCCATATCAGTCCATATCTAAAGTCATGTGTTGTACCACGTGTGCGTGTGTGTGTGTGTGTGTGTGTGTGTGTGTGTGTGTGTGTGTGTGTGTGTGTGTGTGTGTGTGTGTGTGTGTGTGTCTGTAGCGCTGAATGAAAAGCATTCCACATTGCCTGAAGTAGGTGTTAACCCATTTAAAAGCTTTACTATCCCATGGTGACCTAAGTGCTATTTTAGGTGCTTTTGCAGCTTGCCAAGAATGAAATGTTATAAAATGTTTATGTGTGCATGAGTATGTGTCAAGCATGTGTATGTATCTGCACACACACACACACACACACACACACATACACAAACAGACAGGAGTGCAGGAGTGAGTTTTTTCACTCTCAGTATCGGCCTCAGCTTGCTTGCTTGTGATTTATAAAGCCATCATCCCTCGTAGCTCCGGTGGCGTCTTCCTCACACAGCCCCGGGGTCGGACTCGCTCCTGAGCAATAACACAGCAGCAAATGGCCCGGAACCTTCCATCAGTCTCCCAGTAGATCACACACGCTCTGTGCAGGCCGCCGCTGTCAGGCCTCATTTACATCTGCCCGACCCCGAGAGGAAGTCCCCACAGTGTGTTTGTTTGTTTGAAAAAGAAAGCCAGGAGTCTGATTAATATCTCTTTATTCAAACAAGATGAAGCCAAAAATAAGTTTGCAGCAACCTCACAATTTAATCAAAGCTGCAACTTGGAAGTATTTTCTCTGAGTGTAACCGTTTGAGATTGATGAATGAGTCTGCTCGGGGCACTTTCTTCAAAAAGAAAAAGTTCCAGTATGACCCCTGTGAAGTTTTTTTTTTTTTTTTTCTTTCAATGTGAAGTTGGTTACTTTGTCAGGGGTTGTCACCTTTTGATGCTGCAGGAATAAAGACACATCAATCAGTGTAGATGATGAAAAGTTGTGGCTTTTATTCTGCATGTCTGTAGTGTTGGTCCGATGCTGAAACCACATTCGATCAGCCTCTGATACAGCCTGAATGTGCTGCCAGGTATCACAAGTATGCTAGGTAAAGATAGTTACTACTACTAGCTAGTTGAAGGGTTATTTCGTTAGCATTAGTACCTGTAAAAATCAACAGGTGACAGGCTGATTATCGTGCGAGAATGTTTTCTAACAACCCTCCTGAGAGTGTAACGATGTGTCCTGAGGGCATCCTGCTTCTACATGTATGTTGGAGCTTAAAACATTTGCTATAACCTTCACATGAATTTGACAGAATACAATTTATGACATTGAATCTCCCTGACCTTCCCCTCCTCTTTCCTGTGTCAGGCCTCCCTATACGCAGAGCGCAGTCCTCTTCCTCCTCCGAGACGTGTTAAAGCCTCAAACTTTTTTTTTTTATCAAGATGAGGAGGCCTCTCTTTTCTAAACTTCCCTCCAAGGCTTTTTCCCCTCGAGAGTGTTCACTGCGGTGTAATGGATCACTCTGAACAAGCCACACGGCCGCTTTTGAACCGCACAGAGCAGACTTTCAGGGGGGGATAAAAGGCTATGGAAAGCCTAATGAACAGGTCTAATTTCTGGCCAGGAAATGGATTAATTGCCATCCTTAGCCAGTTAACATGGGGAACTGTGTCTGGAGAAAAATGGTCGTGAAGGTGGTGGTGGTTGTGGGGGGGGGGGGGTTAGTGGAACAGGCAACTTCGGCATTTCCAGCCCAGGGGATGAAACCTCAAAATGGAAATGGGATCCCCAGAATATACTAATGAAAGTATAATGAGCCCATTAATATCCTATATTTGTTTTCAAATAGGGGTACAGTACTGCCATGACTCTGCATGGTTCTTTGGTCAGACGTAAAAAAAAACAAATCTACGCTGATTTTCCGCTAACTCGCTGAACCTTCATGATAAATCAAATGAAAAGATTCTTTTGACAAACAGTACAACCACAGTGTCTATGTAGGAGCTGCTTTAAAGCTTTTATACAACATCATCTCCATTGTGCTCAGTCGTCATGGACAGGCCAGTTGTTCGGATTTACATTTGCGTTGAGAACTTTTAATGAGGCTTTAGCGCTAAGTTCTTGACCTCGGAGCAAGCTGCTGGCAGAATAGATAAAAAAGCAACAAGAAGAGATTCTCGACGTCTTAAAAGGAGATTTTTAGACTTTAAAAAGTCTTAGGCATGTTTGACTCAAATCCTTCAGAAAAATATGAATCAGAAAAACAACTTTTTCCTGTGCAGATACTGATTCTTTCAGTAGGTATTGTTGATTTTTTTTATGGTATTAAGAAAGAGGCAGGAAACATACATTTGTCTTTCTCCTGCTTCTGTTTGTTCATGGACAGTGTGTGAGTATTTTGGAAAAAAATGTATGACGTATGTTGTGTTATTGTGTTGTAATCAAGTAATGAATGAATTATAGCTAGACATGCGCATTGGTGGACTTCAGAATCAGAAATACTTTATTAATCCCAGGGGGAAATTTGTTTGCTACAGTTGCTCATAACACCAAAAATCAGTAGGAAGTACAGATAAGTTCACAATATAAAATAAAATAACAATATAATAAGCATAAGTACCAAATGAAAGCACTTCAGAACGTCTCAAATAAGTAAGAAGAAAATATGAGAACGTATGAGAGTGACCTTGTAGATATTTCTATGATTGTTTTCATTTTTCTGGAAGTATCATATCAGACCTCTAAACAACTCTTAGAAATGGACTCACAGGTCAGTCAGTAAAAGGTAAGGATTTTTTTTTTTTTGTGGGGGCCTTTTTGCCTTTATTGGATAGGGCATCTGAAGCGAGACCGGAATTGTTGAGAACAAAGAGTGGGGGGTGACATGCAGCAATGGGTAGAGGTCTGATTTGAACCCACAGCTGCTACAAAGAGGACTATCCTCAGTACGTGGGGCGTGCAAAATAACTGCTTGGCTATCCGGTGCCTCAAAACATTCTG